GAATTGGTCTTGTTTTCTATTAATTCTCAGTGAGTTTCTTTCCCTTAGAGTACTAAAGGGTAGATGCATGCTTCTCTGAGAGATAAACCACCATTTGCTGAGTGTGTGGGAGGACACTGGGAGCTGAAGAGACTATGTTGTAGCAATGTAAAATGGTAAAAATCTTCCTGCTGCACTCCCCCATGATCATGGCGGGGAGACATGGGTTGATTAAATCCTTTCACGATGGACACCGAGAAGGACACTGTTTCTGGTTGAATTACTTCTTGAGGCTCTAAATTGGGATCTTTTTAGAGTGTGTGTGGAAGCATATTTTTAGTTGGTGGCCCCATGGATTTGAAAGCCTCAGGTTTTTACCAGTGTTCAGTAGGCTGGGGCACTGCCAACAGAGAAGATAAAATAAGAGCTCTGACTTCATCCAGTATGTCGAACGTGTGCCAAGGAGAAAAAATTCTTTCAAAATTCAGAGAGGATAGTTTTTGTTGATTTTGTTCACAGAGTGATGGGGGGCATCAGAGTAGTTGGCTTCTGCTCTGACAAAATGGGGAACAGTTAATTGTCCATGAGAACAGAAGACATTTATTCTGTGGGAATCTGTTGCCAAACCACATTTAAAAATGCAAGGGCTTTCTCTGTTTCCAGAGTCTAGTAAGAAAATAAATCATTTCAAGGTGGCCAGCCAGGGCTGTCACTCTGAAAGGTCTACACATGTTACTCCAGGACCGGGGAACCCAGGGTGAAGGTCTTTGGTTTCACAGTCCAGTGAGCCTGTAGGGCACAGGAAGCTCAGGAGGACAGGTGGTTAGCATTGGTGTGGAAAAGCCAGCTGTGGAAAGACCACCGTGGTGACTTCCTCAGAGCATGTTTGGATACAGCGGCTGTTCTGTGAAACCCTCACGTGCCTTACCTTAGGCACAACTTAAAACCCAAGGATGGCTGCCATCTCCATTTCATAGATGAGAAAATCAGAATAGGAAGAGGTGAAGTGATTCCTCCAGCGACATAGTTTTTGTGCAGTGGGAGAGTGGTGTGGTAGGAAGGGCGCTGGGACTTGAATTTCGGGAACTTTGAATGCCAATGCTGGGGATTCTAGATATGTAATACCACACTACACACAACAAGACACCACCCTTTTCTGAGTGAGATTGTGGGAGGAGCCAAAGCTTGATGGGCAAAGGCAGATGCTGGGGTGAAAGGCAGCAGCACTGAAAAACACGGAGACCTCCGGCCTGTTTCCCCGTTTCCCCTTCAAAGGACTCTACTCTTTGTTGTAGTTCTGGGCCGCTGTCTTCTGTTTCATTTCTTTGAGATTCTGTTTTCCAGGAGGAGTGACCGGGGGATGCATTCTAGATACTAGTTTGTAATGATTAGAGTCGCTCTTTAATGGGAACTCATAGGAAATTTGTCCTTCTAAAGATTTTTTTTCTCCTTTTAAAATTCTGTGTATTGTATGTGTCTGTGTTGAGTATGTGCAGATGAGTGCAGGTACACACGGAGTCCAGAAGCATCAAATCCCTCTGGAGCTGGGGTTACAGGTAGTTGTGAGCCAACCGCAGGTGCTGGGAACTGAACTTGGGTCCTCTACCACGGCAACTACTGTTCTTAGTGGCTGAGCTACCTCTGTAGTCCCTGTAACAATTTAATGAATAAAATACTTTCAAGATGCACAGGAGCCATTTCAGAAAGGGATGCCTCACTTTCATCAGATGATGGAGACGCTTTTCAAGGCTGAGGCCCCCAAAGCTCACCGTCGGTGCTACCCTCCGGTCTCCTGGAATGCCCTCTTGAAGTACTGAGATGAGGCAAAGGAGCCTAAGGAAGGAGAAACACTGCACAGATGGAGAACGCTCTAAAAGGAGGGCAGCAAACATGGAATCTCGGGGTGTGCTGCTGAATTTAAACCCCACCTCTGCCTTTTTTTTTTTTTTTCTGTGTGATGATGAGCGCAGAAATAAAAGCCTCCTGCATGAAAACATTTACTCTGGAGACTTCTGAGGACTAAGTAAGAAAATGCCTTGGAAAGGCATCAGGCAAAAGCTTACAAACTGGTCAGTACCAGCCAAAGCTGGTGCCCTTTTCCTCTCCTTTGCCACCTGGGATGTGTGGGGAAGGCAAACAGTAACGCTGGAGGAAGTCAAACTGTCCAGGCAAGAAAGAGACTCCATTGGGGTGCTTGCTCTTGCTCCTTGACACAAATGTGGTTCTCTTGGGTTTGAGACAGACACACGGCAGTGAAACACTGAGTTTGTGGGACCAGTGCCCTTATAGATGTAGCATCTGGGCTGAGAATGCAGTGTGGTGGCAGAGCACCTGCCTAGCATACAAAAGACCCTGGGTGATTCAGTACCCGGGACCAAAGGAAGAAGAACAAAAATAAAATTCGACAAACCCGGGCAGCTGAAGGCTGAAGGCGCGGCTAGCAGCTTCCTCTTGGTCTTTCTTCAAGTACAGCATCCAATGAGAACTTCTGAAAGTTCCATTTTTCTGTCATACGGTCTATCCTAGGACATTCTATACAGAACGCTTTATTTAATCAGAACATACTGAATCAGCAGATCTACCACTAACCTCTGGCCATTGCTTTCTCTGATGGAAGGACTCGTGTAGCTTTGCAAATATCAAAATATAGGCATTGCTTATCCGGCTCTGGAGAGTCACAGCTACCGGTGCTGCACAAGTGATAAGGAAGCACACAGGGTTTTGAAGAGCTTTGCTGGTGCCTTTTGACCCTTCTTGCTGTACAACCCCATATGTAGCTCAGGCTGGCTTCTAACTTGTGGCTTGTCCTACCTCGGCCTCACAAAGATTGAAGTTATAGATGTGGGCTTCTATGCCTGGCCCTTGGGTTTTAATTGTGGACTGTGAATTATCCTCTCCTTTTCCTAAGAACATACAGTGATGCCCAGGAACTCTGACCTTTGACTTTTACACTAGATGGGCCATGAAGGACAGCTATTTGTCAGGACCAACTTAGAGGTTGAAAAGAAGTATCCTTCAGAATCCTGCTATGGGACTTCAGGGATTTTCCAAATGCTTCCTAGATGTCTTCTATCCTCACCAGCCCATGCATACAAACAAGGACATGGTGATGTTCATTACTGAATTTTTGTGGTGCTGTAAATTTCTCAGTACTAAACTTCCAGGTGTCCATCCAAATTCCCTCAACATGTGAGAGCTTGCTCAGGCTGCCTTACTCATGCTCAGGAAACAGTCTGCACCCACTGGGGACAAGTGTGGTCTCAGGACTCCGCCTGGATTTTATTGTCAGCTGCCACATCTCCTGGGAAGAAACTTCCTTCTTGTCGAGTCCCAGGGTGTCAGTGCCATGTTCTATCTAGCTCACTACACTGCTGGTGCCACAGTTTGTTTAACACATAAAGATAAAGAATGTCCCCTCCCTAATTCTGTGCAAACCCTCTGTCATCTGGGTCCTTGCCTTGGGTCAGATGTGTTAGTAAGAACCCGCAGTAAGTCACCGGTGCATTTAGGAAAAGGAGTCCAAAGCTTCCTCCTGGAGCAGTTTTACCAAGAGCAAGCCCAGATCTGAATTCTCTACTTCTCCCTCCTCATGTCTTCTGTCCTCTCCTGTCTGCTGTGTGAGTCTGAATCTGTGCCTGCCCGCCTTGTCAACCTGTCTGTCCATGTGTCCCTAACAAAGGGCTTTTACTGTATATTACTGAGCAGCATGGAATGAATGGCATGGGGAAGGGATGAGGCTGCTTTTCAGAAATCTTTAGCAGAGTTTCGTAGGGAGTGAGACTAATGACCCCAGCTGACCCAGATAACTGACAAACAGTGTTATCAAGCAGTACCTGTATGCTGCTTTCATTATTTATGGCTGACTGCTATTTCATAAGGCAGCTTTTGTTCTATTTGCTGTTTTCAGCAAGTGATAGTCAAAACACACATGTACTGTTCTCTGAGTTGGGCATAAGCCTAATTTCAGATTAAAGCTATACATCAGCTTAGGTTGTAGAAGTTGATGACCTGGGAAATCCAGGGCAAGTAAGGTTGGCCATTACACTTTTTTTTTTTTTTTTAATTAAAGGCAGGTTAAACGAACAGGTTGAGTATACAGTAGGATAGCAATCTTAAGTCTTGACTGACCTCAAGGTGCATTATTAACTCTGGCTATGATGAGGTCCAGCAAAAGTTCCAGTCTCTTAGAATGTAAGAGATGTTTTTGTAATACGATATTGCCACAGGCCCTGAGCTAGCACTACTTGGCACACAGTAAGTAGCATCTTCCAAATGTGCCCATCACCTCCCACCACCTATTCCCTTTGAGGGGACAGCTGAGAGAGAAAGTGGCAAATCATCCCCTTCATCATGTTTATCCCTTCTCCAACCCCTGGTACCCATGAAGCAGCTTCAGCCCAAAGCCAGAAGTCTCTATGAATATCAACTATGCAGGTCAATGTCTGCAGCAGCCACCATATCTGCCCGCTCTTTGTTTGGTCTCAGTCAGGTCCACACTATTACTCACTTGAGAGGTTGTCTGGTCTTGGCTGAGCTTACACCTACCAGAGCATCAAGTGTTCTCAGGGTATAGTGATAACTGAAGTCACCAGCTACTCTAGACCAACCAGAGGACACATTGCAGGAAAGGGATCTCAGTGGTAGAGAGAAGACATACTCCTGAGGATCTCATATACTCACGTCAGAACCATTGCTGTTTGAGTGACATGCACCTTGTGTTATGTAAGATGATTTGGCTGAGACACCCTCACTGGTACCCAGGAGGAAGTCATTTCAGCATGGATGGATATATCCTTGGATCTTCTGTCTTCCTCGGGCAGGGGAGGGCCGAGAGTCTGGAAATCTGTAGAGAAGGAATCCTAGGACACAGGAAGACAGAAGCACAGTGTGTGTGTGTGTGTGTGTGTGTGTGTGTGTGTGTGTGTGTGTGTGTGTGGCCAGGGTTTTCGCTGCTGTTGTAGCTATCAGTAAAAAGACACTGCTTTTGTGCTCATCCTCTCCCACCCTTCTGCCTGAAACAGGACCTCCAGTCATTCACTCTGGAATCAAAGACCTCAAGGTCTTGAAAACAACCCAGTCTGGATTTGAAGGATTCATCAAGGACCAGTTTACCACGCTCCCCGAAGTGAAGGACCGATGCTTTGCGACTCAAGTGTACTGCAAGTGGCGTTACCACAGAAGGGACGTGGACTTTGAGGCTACATGGTATGACAAGCAAGCATGGGGTCTAGAGCTGGGCCAGGTTAATGGAGTTTTGGATCAAAGAAGAAACTTAGCGACCAGTCAACTCAACTTCCTAGTTCTTCGGGAAGCCCCCATCCCCGTGTGGTCTGTGTGGGGGTGGGTGGGGGTGGGGTGGGTGGTGGGTGTGGATGTGTAAGTGTGCGTGCACTTGTTTACACATTCATGTGGAGGCCAGAGAACAACTTCAGGTGGTGTTTCTCACGAGTTATCCACCTCAGTTTTTGTGACAGTCTCTTATGGGGACCTGAGACTTACTTATTAGGCTGGGCTTGCTGGCTACCCCAGGGTCTTCATTCTCCTCAGTGCTGGGGTTAAGTATGCAGCATAATTTACAGCTTTTAATGTGGGTGCTGGAGGTGGAACTTAGATCCCTATGTTCAGTTGACAAGCTGTCTTCTCAGGCCCTCTTTTTCAAATTTTATCAGTGGCTCTCAGTCATTAGTGTACAGTGGAATTACTCAGGACATTATTAGAATAAAGGTCACTGGGTTCGCTCCTAGGCCCCCGGGAGAATTTGTATTGCCAACAACACCCCAGGTGACATTTCTGCTGCTGCACTCCATCAAATGAAGATAACATCTAGCCTTTCTAGCAACGCAGAGGGCCTGAACTAAGCTTCCAAACCCTCTCAGCTTGCCAGAGACTTTCTTGGTTTCAGTAACTGAAACTTTCATATCTCAGGAAACCCCCTTGGTTTTGGGAAAATGATGACAATTGGTAACCCACAGACCAAGTTCCGTTCTCTGATATTCATACAAGTGCTTTTGTAAGTGGGACTGAGGAGAGAGTTCTTTAAGTAAAGTGTTTGCATTGCAAGCACGGGGCTCTGCATCTGAGCATCAGAACTCTCACATAAAAGCCAAGCATCATGGTGTGCACTTGTAATCCAGCAGCGGGAGATGGAGCCAGACGGTTCCCTGCAGCTCACTGGACAGCTAGCCTGGCTGAATCAGTGGCAAACTCCAGGTAAACATCAGAGACACGGTCTTAAAGAATAAGAAAATGGCCGGGTGGTGGTGGCGCACGCCTTTAATCCCAGCACTCGGGAGGCAGAGCCAGGCGGATCTCTGTGAGTTCGAGGCCAGCCTGGGCTACCAAGTGAGTTCCAGGAGAGGCGCAAAGCTACACAGAGAAACCCTGTCTCGAAAAACCAAAAAAAAAAGAAAGAAAATGGAAAGCAACTGACAAAGACACTTGAGGTTGACCTCTGTGTTCCATACAGATTCATACACACATGCACGTGCCTGCACACATGAATATGCACACAGACACACACAGACACACAAACACACAGAAACACACACAGTCACACACATAGGTGCACACATACAGACACACACAGGTACACAGGCACACAGAAACACACAGAGACACACACAGTCACACACAGACAGACACACACAGAGGCACACAGACACACAGACACATACACACACATGCATACACATGCACACACACACACAGAGTAAATGGCAAATGCTTGAAGCATGTAAAGGTGTGAGTTTTCTGACATCTCGGACAAGGAACAAGCTTCTGAACCCTCAGAGCCTCGACTATGGGTCTCATCCCTTTGCTGAACTGCTAATTGTTAGACACTTCTACACAGGAATGAGCTGAAATCTGCTCCTCCTGCTACAAAGCATCCTCCCCCTGGTAGTTTTTATCTGCTCTTTTTCTTATTCGAGAGGCTTTTAAATGCTTGAAGAAAGTACCTCAGCCTAGTCCTCTTTCCCCTTGCTTACTTCAAGTGCTGTCCCTAGGGAACTGGGGCCTACTGTATTGATGCTGAGAAGACATCAGATTGAAAGTGTCAAGCAGGGGAGAGCGCCAGGCCTCCCACTGACAAAGGTCTCAGAGAGAAGGCTTCCGTTGTGAGCTCAGATTCCTCTTTAAATGGGGGATAATCATGGCACTGCCTCAGCTGTATTAAAGATTCACTGATTTTAATCCCAGAAGGTGTTTGGCTTACCCAATGGCACTAAGACCCTGAGGCAATAGTTCAGGGATGCAGCTCTGCAAAGCAGGGAAAGTGTTTGTGTTTGGAAGTCTCCTTATACAGACACATGCACAGAAGAAGATGGATGCTGAAATGCTATTTGGCCTTGGTATCACTCTATGAGAAGAGGCAGATGCTTAGTGTCTGTTTAATGCCATGTGGGAATGTGTGTGTGTGTGTGTGTGTGTGTGTGTGTGTGTGTGTGTGTGTGTGTGTGTGAGAGAGAGAGAGAGAGGGGGGGGAGGGAGGGAGGGAGAGGGAGGGAGGGAGAGGTAGAGAGAGATTGAGAGAGAATGTGAAGTGCATTTTGCTTGTTTTCATTTTGGCATTACAGAGTAATAATCCTTTCTAAAACCATCCATAAAATGGTTTTATGGGTATTCCTATTTCTTAGCTTTATAAAGCATTCCTAACAAATTAGACAAGCTCCTTCAGTTTCCCTTTCTACGTTCTAGGGGCACCGTCCGGGACATTGTCCTGAAGAAATTTGCTGGGCCCTATGACAAAGGCGAATACTCCCCTTCAGTGCAGAAGACACTCTACGATATACAAGTGATGTCCCTGAACCAGGTTCCTGAGGTAGGCTTTGTCACTTGCCATTCTGAGGACTAAGAGAAACTGTGTCTCCTGTCAGCTCTAAGGAAGAGTTGAGTGTTAAAATAGGAAAGTGGAAGACACATGGAAAGTGGCATCTGTTGTTGTTCAGAAGCTTGATATAGCAAGTGAGAAGAGAGCAGAAAATGGAAAAATCTGCTCAACCTAAAAACACAGGCCGCTGCCACAGTGCTTCAGTTTTGTGGAGAATTCTTTTAGCTCCTTCAACCTACCACAAATTTAAACTTCAAATTCAGGCCACTGCCATGCCTTGATGGGGAGATAACTAGACAGAGGTTGTATGTTTCAAGGTATGAATGATAGAGTTGAGAGATTTAATCCATCTTTCCATTCTTACTTCCTGCCATCCACCCACTCATCCCTCTATCTACCCACCCACCCATCCATCTACCTATGTATTGATATTTCTGGACATTGTGCTTCTGGTAGGACCCAAGGGATACAAAGATAAGCTAGACATGGTCCTCACACTCAAATAATCCATAATTAAGTGAACAAAGAAAACAAGGAAGTTTAAAAAATATCAATAGTATGTTATTATGGAAATACAGGGGAAGAGTCTAACTCAGATAGATTTTCTAGAAGGAGAGGGGTGTGCTGGATCTTCAGAAACAAATAAGGGTAACCTGGGTTTATACTCAATGGCAAGGGAGTAGGACAAGTGTGGAGACAGAAGATGGCATGACACAGACATTTACTCTTAAGGGCCAACCACAGGTGACTTGCTAGGAAGGAAGTATTTTCCTGTGTGTGGGCATATGGTGGCAGTGAGTCAGGAGGACATTTACAGGCTTATTTATTTATAGTCTATGCTTTATTCAGGGAGCCACTGAGGGTCATTGATGTGTGGTGGCATTGTGTTCCCCAAAATATTGTGTACCCTAATAAACTTATCTGGGGTCAGAGACAGAACAGTCACTAGATACAAAGGCTATAAATTGTTGGCACACATGCCTTTAATCCTAGCATTCCAGAGGTAGAAATCCCTCTGGATCTGTGAGTTCAAGGCCACATTGGAAATGGCCAAGCATGGTGACACACGCCTTTAATCCCAGAAAGCAAGCATTTAATCCCAGGGAGTGGTGGTAGAAAGCAGAAAGTTATATAAGGCATGAGGACCAGAAACTAGAAGCATTTGGCTGGTTAAGCTTTCAGGCTTCTAGCAGCACAGTTCAGCTGAGAGCCATTTGGAGATGAGGACTCAGAGGCTTCCAGTCTGAGGAAACAAGACCAGCTGAGAAGTTGGCCAGGTGAGGTGAGCTGTGGCTTGTTCTGTCTCTCTGACCATCCAGCATTTTACCCCAATAACTGGCCTCAGGTTTGATTTTATTAATAAGACTCTCTAAGATTCCTGCTACACTGATGGGTTACAGCAAAGTTTAGCATGGCAGAATTTGCATTCTAGAGTGATCACGGGTAGCAGTATGATAAAAAGCATGACAGATCACAGGCTAGGAGTCTTGTGGGATGATGTTATAGAAGTATAGCCGAGAAATCCTGGGCCAAGACCATGCTGGATGGAGAGAAAGAAGCATTGCCTGGACCAGAGGGACTTCTCTGCCTTGGCCTAGCACTGTAGCATTCTCCTTCAGGCTTTCCTCTGCCTGTGCCTACCTGCACTGAGTAGAGTTGGTAAAACTAAGGCAGCAAACTCTCTAGGTGCTCACAACTCCCCCAGAATTTTTTACCCAGTAGCCTGGAGACTTGGGCAAATCTCTCCTAGAGACCTGCTTTGTCCTTGGAGGCTCCTGCCACTGGGGTGTACATTCTTAGGCCTAGAAATGGACCAGAGACATGGATGTGGCTTGCTATACAAGGAGAATATCGACTCTTATGACCAGGAGAGAAGATGGGCTGGTTTCCCATGTCCTGGCACAGCATGAAAGAGAGTCAGAATTTTAGATTACAACCTGACCTTATAAGTTTAACGAAAGTATCTTTGTAAATTAGAAAAGTAGAGTATAGTTTACTCAATCTTTGTCATGTATATGGGTCTGCAGTTTGACACTTATCCTAGGGCCTATGTTAGGAATCATCCTGGGAACCTGAGCTTTTCAGAGAGGTTTTATACTGAGGGGAGAGGAATGGGCCTGCCACCTGTCTCTTAGGAAGACTAGTCGGGGAACAGTGATTGGCAGCAGAGGAGCATGGGGGCATACTTTAAAGACACAATCATGGTCACAGGAAGTAGTCAAGATGGGTGAGGTAGATGGAGGAAGAGAGAGACTCTCCAGTGCCAAGTGTAACATATGCTATTGTGGATTCCAGATAGAAGACATGGAAATCAGCCTGCCAAACATTCACTACTTTAACATCGACATGTCCAAAATGGGGCTGATCAACAAGGAAGAGGTAAGAGCATTTTAAAAACATTGAAAGCACATTTCTGCCCCATCTCCATTCAGTTTCCTTGTCAACGTGGGACAATATCACTGCCTAAAACCTGCAGCGGCTGCTGGCTTGGCGGAGTATTTACAGTTGTCACTGATCAGAACACTCTTTAACTCTGGGTCTTTCAATGCCTGAGGCTGAGTACTCTAGAAGTGGATGAGTGATTACGGAGGAGGGCTGTAGGTTGCAGGGAGGAACAAAAAGAAGGAACAGAGTGTGCCCAGGGAAACAGCTCTAAGATCTCCTTGGGAAAGTGCCGCAGAAGGCCGCAGCTGCATTGTTCTTCCATCACGAGGCAGTGAGGAGGAGGCAAGACTCTATTTTCATTTTCTTTTATCGTGCCCACCTTTTGAGGAAATAGCCAGTTCAGGGGCGCACAATACACTTGGGAGAGACGAGAGTGTGTTTGTGTTACAGATGGCAAAAATGAGAAGTTCGTGCTTTCAAAGGGAACCTTTGTTTCAGGAAATACACAGCCCTGGCTTCTTTTGAACTGTGACAATCAGATGGTCTGACTAGGCAGCCTGGAGCTCTGATTGGTAGCCTCTGCGGTCACTTCCTGGGAGATCAGAACTGACCCTGCCCCAGTGACATGTTCAGTGATAGGCACTTGGACCCACCTGCAGCATCATTTTGGGTAACTGTGTTTAGTGTATGTGAGGGAGTAGGGAAGAGGCCATCTGTGGATGGCCCTGCTGATGGGCACCACATGCTTGGACGCACAAGGTTAATGGGAGAGAAGCTCCTGCACTCTGGGACTTCTGTCCCAGGAGCCTTTCAAGCCCTCTGGCCAGGGACCTGATTTCTCTTTTGCAAACAGTACTGGTGGGTTCCACTGGCTCTGCACCATCAGCCGCATGTGGATGCCTGCTCTGGCGCTGGAAAACAAGCACGAGGCTTACGTATCCTGTAAGAGATGATCTAGGACCCTGGCTGGCAGGAGAGGGAAAGTTTGGCCCCCAGTTCATTCAGCTGCAGGGACAGGCGACACTGTGTACCGCAGAGGAAGGGAAGGATGGCAAAGGGCTGAGTTGTGAATGAGGACAGAGAGCGTTTTGTATGGTTACTCGCTGAAGGGCAGGAGATGGATCTGAAACCAATCTTGGCCGTGTCTGCCAGGGGCAGAACCAACGAGCTCTAAACAGAAGAAGGACCTGATGAACACTCACTCCACAGCACAGTCAAGGGGTTTTGAGGGGGTCCACTGAGCCTTAGGCCCCTTCCCATCCCCTCCAGAGCTAGAAGTGGATGAGTCTTTGTGGAGGGGTTTGGAAGTTGCAGAGAGGAATATAAAAAGAAGCTACAGAAGACAATCCTTCCTAGATTCCAGCAGGGCCTGGAAATAGGAAGCCTTGACTCTATAAAATAATAATAATAATGATAGTAATAATAATAAAGGACCTGTCCTGAGCAAAGTATCCTCACACCGAGGGCGACAGCTTTAGTCACACTTGGCTGTTTACCCGTATGTGTACTATGTGAAGGCAACATACGAGAGGCAGGAAGCTGAGGCACAGTGACAACAGCTGTGGAGTGACAAGTGACGGGTTGGGAGGACAGAAGGACTCTTTAACACAGCTGTCTGGATCCATTTAACATCACACTCACAGCCCTGGGGACCTCAGATGATCTTCAGGGAATGGCTGAGTTATAGCTGTGGACAATGATTGATGTCCAAAGTGAGTTATCAAAAGAGGTCAAATTTCTTCATCCCATTTTTGAAAGCAGGATTGTATAATGCATTTATAAATATCTATATCGTAATGACTAACAAACAAAATGCTTCTTAGTGGCAGGTAAAATGGCTGGGTCAGTAAACCACTTGTTGAGTAAGCATGAGGTCCCGAGTTTGGTTCCCCAGCACCATGTGAGCAGCCAAGCGCTGTAACATGTCAATAACAGCACTGAGGAAGCAGAGACCGTAGGACCCCTGGAGCTCACTGGCCAGCTGCTCTAGCTGACCTGGTGAACTTTAAGTTCAGTGAGAGATGCTGCCTCAAAAAATAAGGTAGAGGGCTGGGAGATGGCTCAGCGGGTAAGGGCATTTGATACACAGCCAGATGACCCGAGTCAGAACCCTGGGACCCATATAAAGGTAAAAGAGAGATGCAGCTACACAGAATTTTCCTCTGCCCTCCACAAGAGTGGTGTGACACATACAACCCCCTTCCCAGTACACACACACACACACACACACACACACACACACACACACACACATACACACATTCATACATATGATGTACACATACACACATTCACACATATATACAGTAACCCAAAACAGCATATAAAACTCTCAAAATTCCTATATTTTCGGAAAAATCAACACATCATTCAAGTATTCCAAGGATGATCAGGCACTGCTAGACTTTTACTGCAGAGTACTCAGCTTTTTCCCTAACAACCGGTGACATTCTTGCTTTAATACTGGATCATAGACAGGAGAAATCTCTGAATTTCCCTGTGGTTCTTCTACAGGTTTTGCTGCCTCTCGATAATCCCTACGGCAAAATCACTGGGACAGTCAAGAGGAAGCTAGCTTCAAGGCTGTGACATTATGGCTCCAGTCAATTGTGATGCTGGGGACCACTGTGTGTTTACCTACAAAATATTTCAACTTAGGATATTGATTGCTTCCTTCTGTATGAAACAATTGCTCTCTTTGTTCCTAGTTAAACAAGGCATTTTGCGGATCCCCATATTATCAGGTACAACATACCCCACGGCTGTGGGCAGTTTCCTTAAAAATCACTGGGTAGTGTTAGAAGACCCACAGTGATATTTATCCTTGTTGATCTTGTATTTTTCTGCCTCAGAATCAGTCTTTAGAATCAGATCATTAAGAAAATAATCATGAAGTAGGGGTGGTGCCACATCGATTAATCTGAACACAAGTTTAAGAAGCAATCATTGTTGTCATCCTATCGATATGTCTGGGTAGTGCAGAAAATATAATAAAATCGTGTGAAAAAACACCTTAGTGACTTCAACTGACTGAATATTTGTGCTTTTAAAAACTCTGGCATTCAGACAAAGCTCAGTATGGAGGAGGCCAGGTGGGCATGAAGCTCCAACTCTAGCTGAGGAGTTATTGGCATTTGGTTGCTGCTGGAAGAAGGAAAGTCAGTTTTGTTTAAGGGTGTGGTACCCAGTATGTCAATCATACTGCAGGGCAGTTTCCATGCCCAGATGTAGTCAGATAAACCCAAACTGGCCTCAGTGAGAGAGAGAGAGAGAGAGAGAGAGAGAGAGAGAGAGAGAGAGAGAGAGAGAAAGAGAGAGAGAGAGAATGAAGGAATGAAGTTGGGTGAGTGAGGAAGATCTAGGATAAACTGGGATGGGAGATGATATGATCAAAATGTATTGTATCAAATTCTCAAATAATTAATAAAAATATTATTTAAAAATAAAAAAAATTGTACTTTTAAGTTCCTCTACCAGTTAGTATGAATAAAGACAAGAACATTTCTTATTGTCTTTAAAAGAAAGCCCTTTGGCATATATCATTGATGATTCATTTCCAGCCTAACAATGCTTTATGACACCGCTGTATTGTTTTTATGATTTTTGCAGCCGTAGGAGAATACTTAGCACATACTGGAAAGTTAAAATAAGGATACATTGTTTTTCCTTGAATACTGGTGTGAAGAGCCACTTTTAGTAAGTGTTAAGCCAGTCAACAGATAGATGAGTGACTATGCACATGGAAAGAAGGCTAGAACACCATACCAGTACAGAGACCTCTGGATAATGGGATTCATGGTTGAGGTTTGCTTTGGATCCTGTATGTTTCTGATTCTTCCAATTATGAATATCTGTTTCTTTCATGATCAGAGGAATATAAACATAATTGATGGTTTAGAAATGGATAGCCCTGAGAGGTGGTTAGCTTTGTATCAGTCTACTGACATCTATTGCATGTATTCCACAAAGCTTAAAAATAACAATTTTAGAAACCTACATATGAACAACCTACATAACTTTCCTGTAGTGGTACTTTCTCATTGGGACTACCAGCCCATAGATAATGACACAGAGACTTATCATTATTAATTATGAAAGCTTGGCCTTTAGCTTAGGCTTGCTTTCAACTAGCTATTATAGCTTAATTAACAATTTTTTATTTTTTTTGTTTTTTGAGACAGGGTTTCTTTGTGTAGCTTTGCATCTTTCCTGGAACTCACTTGGTAGCCCAGGCTGGCCTTGAACTTACAGAGATCCGCCGGCCTCTGCCTCCCGAGTGCTGGGATTAAAGGCGTGCGCCACCACCGCCCGGCAGCTTAATTAATAATTTTTTTTTGTTTTGTTTTGTTTTTTTTTTTTTGGTTTTTCGAGACAGGGTTTCTCTGTGTAGCTTTGCGCCTTTCCTGGAACTCACTTTGGAGACCAGGCTGGCCTCGAACTCACAGAGATCCGCCTGGCTCTGCCTCCCGAGTGCTGGGATTAAAGGCGTGCGCCACCACCGCCCGGCTTAATTAATAATTTTTAATCTATGTTCTGCCATGTGGCTTGTTGCCTCATCTCTGTACTACATATCCTGCCATTCCTGTGTCTTGCTGGTGAATCCTCTTCCTCTTCCTCCCTCTCCCTGGAAATCCCACCTATTCTTTCCTGTCTAGCGGTAGACAGACTTTCTTTGTCCTACCAGTCAGCTCTGTCCCACTCAGCCAGCTCCCAAATAATCACACAGAGACTTATTATTAATTATAAATGCTTGGCCAATAGCTTAGGCTTGTTACCAACTAGCTCTTACATCTTAAATTAATCCATATTTTTTTATCTCTACAATGTGGCAGTACCTTTTTTCATTTCTTACTTCCCCTGTGTCTCCTGGTGAATGCTTCACTCTGCCCTTCTTCTTCCCAGTGTCCTTTAGTTTGACTCTCCTGCCTAACCTCTTCTTGTCTAACTATTGGCCAGTTAGCCCTTTATTAAACCAGTGAGAACAAGAAATATTT